AACGACAGAACATTGACTATGCAAATCGTAACTATCGGCAGTCAATCGAGTATACACGACACTAATAATATTTTACAACTTACAGGAAAAAAACGAGAGAATATTATAGAATTTTAGAATAAGTAGGTATAATATTATTTTATTATTAATCACTCAAATATAATACACAGAATCCCGGTTGGCGTAGTGGCATCTAAAACTCGGGCGATTATAACGAACGACTAGAAGCCAGAAGGTTAACGAATAGTTCAATAGTCAAAGCCGAAATTCCGAACTGCCAAATGCTGTTGAATACTGTTGCGTAATTTTACGAAAAGCCAGTTTAATTCTATTTTGGTCTACCTATAGCAATTTTCTGATTGGATAAGATAAGCCATAAACCCATAACCGGCAGCCGCCGCACCGACAACCACTGATAAGTGATGCATGGAGTATGTTTATGTATATCATTATGGTTGTCGGCTCTGTCCACTTACCACGGTTATCTGCTTCTGATACCAATAATACCTATAGTTATATTCTGTGGTATTATTGAAACTTTAAACTCGTCGTCACGATGCGTATACATTTTGTGTCATCTGTTTATTCTGTTTATACATTCTATATTTCTATTTAACATTCTTGAACACCAGCTCTCGCTAATTAAATTGTTGTATAGTAATGGTAACGAACGAGTCGTATAAACCGCTTGTGGCATACTTCACTTTACCATCACGTAGATGAGATTGATAACAGTTACAGTTAATAATCCGAGCGGACAGTGATATTGTTATAATTACGTAATAATCATCATGATTCATGAACTAATTAATAAGAATGTTGGCATATCATTATCATAATAGTAGCAATGTACCTATCATAATATGCTACTTATTAATATACGTATTTCTAGTCGGTAAAGATATTCTACCTAATAGGTTATTATATTAACTATAATAATATGGAGGTAGGATTTAGGTATCTAATCTAATACCTTGCCATTGTTGTAAATCAGAAGATCTTTTTTTCAATTGCAGTTGTATTAAATTGTTTTTCATTTTCTTAGTTGGTCTATAATTTTTTTATAAATGCTGAGGAAAAGTTCAAAAGAATTAATAATATTATTATTGAGAATTCTTGGATTTCTTTGAACATGTTGCTGCAGCTAGATGTTGTGCAAATAAATTAACTAAGTCGTCGAAATAAGCCATAATTATATGTTTTTAAATAGGTACAAATGAAATAAAATTAAAACTTTAAGTAGATACTTTTTAAAACGTTCGGAATACGAGTACATTCGAATTACCTACCTATTTAGCAATATTACTGAGATGCGGCGTGTAATATCTATATAGTCAAAATTGTAAATATATTATATACAATTATTGAAGTTAATAAAATATTAATTTATACAATTTTATTATTATATCCATGGAGGCATACAAAGTAGTTAAACGTTTTAAATTCGTACGACTTTTAATTCGCTAGCGTGTCGTATGAAATTGAAGAATATAGGAAATAATAAAAATCTTTCGACAATTCCTTATGATATCGTATACTACTATTATTAGATCACGCCCGCGCCGTTCGAAAATGATGTAAGGTTTTTCCAGTTCCAACGATGTCGATTGTCGATAACGACGATTAACACAGTTATATTATATTATATTATTTAGACGTATATAGGTATGTGCATTATTGTGCGCGTGCCACATAATCATTGAAATTTAGTACAATAATATGATATAATATTTTTAAGTAATACAAAATATAAGACCCCAAATACGACTAACGCGATTATATACATGAAAATATATAAAAATTAATATTTTTAAAAATGTTATTTCAATTATATTTAAGGCTACCAATATACTTTAATTATAAATATGTGATATAATTATATATTATAATATTATATTATATATGCAATTATAATTACTATATACATTTTACGCATTGATAGAAATTAAAATGTTTAATATTAAAATTATTAAAGTAGAATAAAAGATATGAGTTTCCAAAGTGGCAAACTTCAATAAACTATAATCTAAGTTTAATTAATGGTTAACTAATCTTATATTTTAACTTTTATTTAATCTCAATAATTATCGTTGAAAATTATTATTTTTTTTTATAAATTAACAGAAAACGAAAATTAAATAATTAATGAAATTATTGAATAAACTATGAGAAATAAATATTTATTAAATTATTATCTAAATATATTGAATAATTGTTGCATTTTAAAATACATGTTATCACAAACTTTGATTGGAAAATGAATATTGAACTTTTAATCATTATTAACCATTATCAAATAACTCGAGTACAATATAAAGAATTTAAATTAATATACAATTTTGTATAAATATTTTATTTCAAATATTTGAAATCCAATGAATTTCAAATATTTATACAATTGTATAGATTGACAATTGCTGTGTGGGAAGCACCACTTTAAGATGGACATTTCGGAGAATTTTTTCTTATTGTGAACCCCGAGAGGTGTGTATAATTTCTAACTCTTGTTCCAAAGTTATACCGTATTTGAAGTTATACTTTAATTAATTCTACATACAACGGATTAGACAATGTGCTGTCACTTATCCTGTGGTAGGTATTTGATACAAATGTATAACGTAACTTCACCCGAGAAAAAATTATCAATTAATACAAAATATGGAGTTAGTGTATGTATCGTTGGTGTATCTCGGTTTTGGTGTACCCCAGTTTAGAGGATTGTTGGCTCTTGATATATTTCTGGATAAGGTTCAAACTACTTTTTAAACTTTCCTAATAGCTTTAAGAATAATTTCTGAAATGTTCGATAAAATCGGTAGAGTGGTTTTTGAGTCTATAGGCAAAAAATATATAAAAAAGAAATCATTTTATAAATAAGCTCTTTTATTGATTGTTTTAAGATACATTTTGCTCGTAATATTTTTATTCGAGCATCGAGGCCATAAAAGTATACATTTGATAATTAAATAATTATCTTAGCATCTTACCCTATCTGCCCAAGTAACCAATGGCAACAATTAATATAAAAAAAAAATACTAATTTCTACCATTTTAATTTATAATTATAATCTGTAACCAATGAAAACTATTCATAAATAAAGAACAAATTTATTATTCCCATCTTGAGCGCACCTCTTTAAAATGTAAATTTTGGTAAGTCGTTTTTTTTTTAGATCATAGAAGAGCCACTATTACACATTTCAAGGCTGGGCATTAAAACGAGTTTAAAAGTTAAAAAGTTAAAAGCTAACCTTTTAACTTAACGAGTTACTTTTGGATTTTCACGAATTTAACTATTAACTCACTAAATTTATTTTTGAATTAATGTGAAATGAACAATTAATTTTTTATTTTAAGTTAATTTATTTTGTTTTTAATTGTATAATATTTCACTGTTTGAGTTTATTTGGTTTTCATGTTAAAAAATATTTACCGTCAATTGTTTCAAGTTAAAAAATGTATATATTTCTAATCTAATTTATTAGATAGGTAACTATTGTTTTTTTTTTTAGAAATGAAAAACTTCAATGAAATACTACATAAAGTACAAGCACTATAGTCTATAATTTAGCTGTGGGTTGGTAAAATATAAAGCACGCTAGGGTTGTACAAAACATAATTTAACATAATAAAAAGTTTGAAAAAACGTGTATTAACTTTTAACAACTGAGTTAACCAAAAGTTAAATTAACTTATAACTTGAAACTTTTTTTATTGATTGATATTAACTTAACCAAGTTATAAATATTGTTTGAAGTAAATTCATTTAAAACATAATAATTTTTTCCTAAATATTATTTTTGACAATTTCCTGTCATGATTATATTTCTTAAGAGGATTTGCAAACGCTGTTCATATTTCATCGAAACAACCTTATCGCCCGACAAAAATTAAGGTACTTCTAGAAGTTCAATTTAAAAATGGTAGGTGATTCGTAAGGAGTATAGCATACACACACTAATGATAATTTACTACACACACAGACGAGCAGTGATGGCAAAGAACTAAATAATTGCCTATACCGAACTTCTTATAAATTGTCCGTTTGCAATCCCTCTAAATTATTTATTATCCATATACTTTCACAGTAGTTGTGAAAATACAATTTTTATATATTTTTGTCATATGTTTAACTAGCACCATTTTTTTTTTCATTAAACTGTTCTGTTACACGATATATACAGATTTACATAACATGGTGTATTTAATCAATGATAAAATTCAGAATTATAAATTTGTCATCACATAAACAAGTATGTATTATACAATATACGCACTTTAGTTACGATAAACACAATATTGAGTATTATTGATGGATGGCATTTTTTGTGGGAAGATTAATCCTCAATAAGTAAACTACTATTTTATACTGTAACATATAAGAATTTATGTATGCACTTTTAATAGCCGAGATTTCTGACCCGTACATAAGACCGTAGCTATTGCTGATTTATGAGTATATTAAGGTCAGATAACCATTGCAAGTAATCGATATGATAGTTGGGTAGATTTATCAGCCACAAATGGCAGAAAATTTATTTCATTATACCTCAATAACATCACACATTGCAATTATGTAATAAATAATAAATAATAAATTATTAACAATTAATAAAAATATCTATTAAATTTATATTAAAAAAAACATGAATCACAACTTTAGTCCTTTGAATTTTAGCTTTATGGAATATTATTCAAAATGTATTTTTAATTTAAACAATATTTTTAGACTAAAAAAAACTAGAATTTGTTTCATCTCTTTTTAAGCAACTTAATTAGTATAAACATTCAAACCTAGGTATCTACTATATAGAATTAATTAACATTATATGCATTGTTAATATCAATATGACAATGTTGTAATTATACATTAACCAAAGTTCTAAGCTAATATATAGCTAATATATCAGCATTAGGTATTTTATTGTTATGTTACCATAAGACACACACATATAAATATATTATTACTTATGACATAAAAATAATAAATCAACACTCACGAGCAATTCCATTACTGCACATGTCTGACATACTACAGCAAGATGATATAATCCGCGATCCAACTTCGTCGAGCACTAGAACGCTCCAGTTAAATCTTCTGACTGAATTTTTGGGTTTCGCACAACTGTGTTGTATGGCATTTACCATTATATCTAGATGTTATATTATGTAACAAGCGTTAGATTAATATGTGGAATAACACTGACTACGAAACACAGGCTGAACAAATGTGTTTTGGGGGGATTTAAATCCCAATTTCCTCACTATACGATTGAACGTTGAGCCTTTGGGGCACCTAAAAATAATTTTCATAAAGGGTGGCAAACTAAAACTTAATTATCAAATACATAATTACAGTGAAGCCAAAGAAGTTAAACTTGTTTTATTTTTAAACGCTATTAATTTATTGTTAAAGTTTTATTTTTATTAATGTCTTTAATTATGATACTGTCATGATATTCATAATTGCAACTATGCACTTATTTTCCAACACCACCACCATTTACCTTCACCCTATTCGGTCGTTTGGATAAAGATATAAAATGAGTTTGTTGAAAAACCTTTATTATTGCAAGGCCCTAACTACACCATATTTTGGTGCTGCTGCTTTTATAGATAGGTTCGTTCTGTGGGGTTGACCATGGAAAAAAAATACCAAAATCAGTAAATGCAAATTAGTTTTAATTGTGGTTTCAATCATTTCTATTGAAGGGAGAAACACTTATAAATTCACTTACGATGTTTGACAATCTCCTTTAGTCCCATTTTTGTACGACTGAATTACGTTGTGATAACAATAAACTACGTCTACATTAATTTAAATGTGTAATAGTCGCTGATTGTGGTTTAACTTTGAGAGTGTGTAGGATTCAACAGTGTTGTGTCTCCAAATGATGACGGTCCAGTGATGAACGGCGCAGATGGCCCGGGGCCACAGGGTGCTTCGGCGGTGGCCTTGAGACATCGTTGCTGGAAATCCCAGTGCCCGGACCAGACGAAAAATCGATTCGTCAGTGCTGCCGGCGAATGGGGTTTGAACAATTTGAACTTTTCTCACATTGTCGTTGTCACTATTATTGATCTCTATCGTGTTGTTTCGTTGTGAGAATTTTGAGTCACAATGAGTAGAAAATATGACGTTTGAATTAATTAGCCTTAAATAAATATGTGACTTCAAAAGATTTTTGAGGACATTTGTTTGAAATATACAAAATAACTACAATAAATGTCGTTTTAAAAATGTGATATATTTATGTGTATGTATCAAAAATAAAATTTTTTTGGAAAGTTAAAGTTTTTTAAATGAAGCAGAACAAAAAAATCACAGTTGTTTAAAAAAGTTTTCAACAAAAACGTGTTTTTTTGTATCTTATATTGTAAAGCTATTCAAAAACAAACTTAATTTTTACAAATATCTTTTGATATACGAATTTTTAAGAATTTTTTATCATCAAATCCACACTGTAAGAAGTAATTGCCAATTTTTACCATGTTTCAAATTAATAGTATCCATATAATTTTTTTTAAATGCCTAATTATATTATTTTCTTATTATTAATAAATAATGGTGGCCTGAAAAACGCGGGTAAAATATTGAATAAAAATGTAATCAGTATTAAGAATTAGTATTCTTTCTTAGTAGTACCTATTATAAGAAGTTTGAATAAAATTCTTGGTCTATACACATATTAGTGTAATCAAAAAATAATGCATAAGTACAACTTTTGCGCGAACTATACTCTTTGCGGATTTCCTACGTGTTCGCAAAATACAACGGTCCAAAATTACGAAATAATATGATTTTATCCAAAGTGTAAGTTTATATTTGTATCTAGTGTACATGAAAGTAATAATAATATTTTTTTTAACATAACCACTTTAATTAGTTTCAATAGTTAGGTATTTGTCATACAAATATTATTTTACTAGTACTTACCTATTATAGGTTCTATTCTTATAACTTTAAGGCAAGCTTATCCTTTTATTGCGTACCATTCAATTTCTGATAACAGGAAGCATACAAATAACTAAAACTTAATGTCAGTGATTTGAATTTAAAAAAAAATATTTACTTATAATGCCTATTTGAAAAAGTAAGTAACTAAGAGGTATTTTGATATAAAACATATATATTTATATGTATTGACGGTAAAAATAAAAAGCACAATAAATTGTTGTACTGATCCTTACAAATTTTGTTCTACGCGCAACTGAGCCATATCCTAAAAAGCAATTGATTGAAAGAGTAAGTGCAGCACGCTTAAATAATCCTCACATATGTGCAAATATTGTTTGGCGTTGTTTTTTTGGGGGGAGGGGTTGAAGTTCAAGTCTATACTATATACTCCAATGTATTATGTAGTGGAGTCTTATGGTTTTTTTTTTGAGTTGTGGCGCCTATAACAAATCTTCCAAGCTATGACGCCTAGCCCCCTTATTTGCACCTATGCATCTAGGTAATATTATATTATTACTGTCATAAACGTAAAACACTTAAGTTCACTAACTACTGTTGAAATTACATATTTGTAAAAGATAATTCAACTATAATTTGTCTACGACAGGAAGTAAAATAATATAGGTGTTATTATATAATATAGAGGTTATTATTTATAACGTAAACGTATTTGATAGAACAAACAAAAATGAAGAAATTACTATGGCAATGTCCAATGATATAATCATTACTGAACATGCAGTTGTTGGTTCTTATGTGAATGATTATTGTATCATTGCTAAAATGTTTGACTAAATAAATAGTGCCACATAATGTCAAATATTTAAATTGATAAGCGTCATAAATTCTAAATTAATATATTATAGACATCAAAGTTTATTTTAATGTACCTAAGTCACTGTTTACAGAAATGTCAAAATCATAAGCCATCGATCAAAATATTAATGCGTAGACATGTTTAAATTTAATTAATATGTCCTATGAAATTATGTTAAACTGCGAATTAAGATTGACGCAGTTTACATAATACAATTCGTTAAAAAACAATTAATATAACATACTATGTAGGTACTTCCGATGAATCAAAAATGTCAGTATATATTATAGCCAATAGACTGCGCCCCGTCCTGAACTTTGTATAATGGAACAATATAATATTATCTGAAGTGAAAATGCGTTTTTCTACTCGACTGAGTCCAAAAATTAAATCGGTGAATATATTATTTTCATCACTATGCAAATAATATATCCTCTAATAATTTATTTATATTTGTTTCGAAATTTGGAACTGACAGGACAGTCACTGAATTCATTATAATCTTGTATTTTGACGTTGACGTTATCGTCACACATATAATATAATAATAATAATGTACAAAGACTAAGAGATTACTTTTTAAGTTTATTTTCTAAAAAATATGTTCGAAGACATCAAATTTTTATCCGAAAATTAATTCAGTAGGTATAACGTATAAAAAAAAAAAAAATTATCGAAGAAAATCATGGTTTAAGTAAAAAAGATACTTCTCGGAAAACATTTTTTTCGCTTTCTATAAAGTCGTCAAACATTTTGATTATTCCTTAGAATATTATGTATTCTATTCAAGACGTAAAAGGATAACTTTGAAGTTATGACATGAATATTGTATGACTTTTATTCCTTTGATAAGAGTTTTTGTATTAATATAATAATAATAAATATATAATATTACTTTCTTTGAAAAATATATTATATAACAATCATCATATCATGAGTTAGTTAGAAAATGCACGGTTACATTAGAGTTGGATCCCGAAACTAAAATGTGTGTACTAGTTGGGTCTTGGATTTTTTTCGTTAAGTACTACACGATACTGACATATTTTTCTTTCCTATTTTAACAGACTCAGGACTGTCTATGATTTATTTTTGACAACAGGTGTCATTAAAAAATATTTTTTTTTGTTAATAAAAATATAAATTTTAAGAATTAACAAAAAGTATGATATGAGTATTAAGTAGTTAATATAACATATATAATTCAAACGAAAAAATATTAAAATGTTAATTAAATATTCAAAAACGGGTAAGTGGATGTCGCTCTGGTGTACGATAGGTTACATCTAACAAAGTTACAAGTGGGTCAATGGATAGTGTTAAATTTGAATTCAATAGTATAAAATCACTGTATACAAAAAATTCTGAGCTAAGACGGTCTGTCAGCCTATAATATCGCTTAGTAACTTAGTATATTTTATGATGTTATTGTGATTAAAGTAATTTATCTTACTATTAAGCATTAGTACAACAGTAGGTTAAATTCATTTTCACCATAAAAAATTACGTTTGAAAAGTAATTATGTACATGAAATATAACAATATACTCTAAATATTTCAAGTAGGCACCTACGAATAATATCTTTAAAGTATAACAAAATAACTTAAATCATTATTCTTAATTATTTAATAATATGTGATTTCGTCCAAATTTGAACACAAAATAACTATAAAAAAAACTGTGTTTATATTTGTTTCAAATATTTTTAATATTTTTTAGTTACGGAATAAACCATCTGTGTGCAACTTTGTTTTAAATTTTTGATCCTTAGCTATAGAAGTTGAACATTTTATATATATTGAACTACAAAATAATTTGTAAATTTTCAATTTAATAAATGTTGTCAACATTTGAACTTTAAATGCTTATAAAACTAAATCGTAAATATATATTTTTAATATTTTTCAACTGATATTGTAACAATATAACAGGAGCTTTGTATTAAAATTTTAAGCTTTTTGACCCCACAAATAAGATATAATTAACATTTAAAGAAAAAAAAAACTAAAAAAATTAAAACGTTCGTAAATAGTTCAAAACTAGGTAGTTAAAATATTTTGAACATTTTATTGAGTATTTAAATTGATAAAATAAACTTTTTTTTGATTTTTAAGTACCTACAGCTCTTCAATTTTTGAATTACAATAAAATTAGAAAATTGCTACATGAATGAATATCCTATGTTCTAAAAATGTCAACATCCATCAAGCGTTCATAAAAATTTAATTTAACTGCCGGTAGACAAACTTATAAGTAATCTTGTTTAAAATTTTAAAATCTTAGATATTAAAAGATAATTTTTTATGAATTTATAACTCAAAGTGATTTGTAAATGTTTGTGATTTTTACGAATTTTGTCAAAATTCAAAATTCAAAGGCTCATAAATAGTTATTGTGAATATTTATGTTCAGCTTTTTTTTAAATTTCCACTAACAATAACTTCCGAGAAATCTTGTATTACATTTTCAAATTTTTGACGAGTTAAAATTTTTTTATCGACATTAGTTTAAAAAACTAATAAAAATCGAAAACTTTTTCGCCTAAAAATGTTATGCCTAAAATGCGATTATAAACATTCAGTGGAATTTCCATGTATCTACTGTATTTTTTTAGAGTTACTTACGTCTAAAAACCAAATCGATTTTGTTAAAAACCGGATTTTCCTAAATATTCCCATATTAGTTAAATTGTTGTTGGTTTTTCATGCCATTTCTGAAAACTACTGGGAATTTTTAATTTTGACCCCCTACGTACCAACTAGATTCACTCTCCTGCCATAACAAAAAACGAAAAATAAAAACTACGTTTAAATACCCAAATACGTAAAAACGATTTTTTTTAAAAATTTTAACCTTGATTATAGGACCTTGCTTAGAATTGTTTTTTATTGACATTGATTTTATATCATTGAATTGAAATTCAATACACCCGTTAGTCTTATTACAGCGTCCCTTCTAGACACTTACTGTACAATCGACTAATAACCACC